CACGGTTGTGCACCCACAAGCATGCAACTTGGCAAACGGTCCGCACGCCAGTGGCCGCCAACGAAGAGAACCGGGGGTCAGAAACATCCGCTTCTTTACCTGCCATAAAATACTCAACCCCTCCGCACAGTGATGCAACGCTTGGCCTTTTGTTGCGGAGAAATATAACAAAATGCAATGCGACGCTTGGACTGTTTTTGAGGAGCAACACGAAAAAGAGCAGCCCTCTGAAAAGCGGAATGCAGAGCAGAAAGCGCAACGGCAAAATTTTCTGCTGCGAAGGATTGAATATACCATGGCGGTCGTGGCTGACAATAGACAAGTCGGCGTTCCTTATCACCGACTTGTACCGCTAACACAGAACTTGGAGCAGTTTTCCGACGCTTTCAGTTTTGAGCTTTTCTCCGATATTAGAATTTGAATTCGCATGGCAAATATTTCAAATATATTTGTTTCCCAGCGAGCCAGGCATCAGATCTGCCCATCCACGATTCAGCGCACAGGTGCCCAACACGGAGCAGCTAGCTCGCGCTTAGGGGGGTCGTTGCATCAGGTGTCCTAATTGCCAGTTCCTTAACAATACTCCTATTAGGAGCTCAGATCTCAATTGTTCAACAAAGCCATGGAGAGAGGGCGTCGGCAGCAGCGCATTCCGCCCAGGGCGCCGGGTTTGCAGTTTCTGATAGTTGGAAGACCTCCGATAGCTAGTCTCTGGTGGTTCAGCTATGCAATGAGTTTTTTTACCCATTTAAAAGGTTTAATAATAGACAACCTTTTTCTGATCCCCCCACAGCCTCTGGGGCGCGCACCTGTCGCTTGCGCAACCCGTGGCAGCGATGCCGCAACTGCGGGCAACCCGGGAATCACTGATGGGAAGTTTATGAGGTACTAGTAATGTACTTTTGTTGTTAAGTGAGTACTACATAATTTAGGCATTAATAGCAATACGTACTTTAGGACAAATAGCAATGTACACCTAAATGTACTGTTTTGAATATCTCGGGTGCCCTTGCCTCTGAGGTTCCGTGCAGCGCCTTACCCCCGCGGCGTGGGGGCAGCGAGATTCTCGAATCCTCGGCACCTCCTGCGATTTTCGGTCAGTGCTTGATCGCTGTGCGCGTAAGGCGTCGCTTCCAGCCCCCGCCCCCGAATCCCCTTGACAGGCACCCGGGCAGACATCAACCGCCGAAGCATGTGAAGTGTATGTCAGCACGTCAATCAGCCAGCCGTCCGCGGCTTACGGACGGCGTCGCTCGCGCTTACGCAGTGACTAACGAGGTAGCGGCGTCGATGTACTTCAGTCCGCGCGGCCAGGGGGGGGGGAGGGGGGGGGAGCCTCGAGCGGTCATGTCGTCGCAGCGGGGGGCCCTTACCCTTCACATTACGGGCTTGCAGCGGGAATCGTAATCCTTGTTCGTGATGTGCACCGCTTACTGCGCTTGAATTGCATCCTATCGCCCATGGGCCACCACTTCTCGCACGCTCGAGAGCGCCACGCCACTGTTCTCGCCCACCTCTCGCTGAACCTACGACAGCCGCCAGAGCTCCGCGGCGGCCAGCACGGCCTTCCCGCCAGTGGCAAGAGAGGCAGGTGAGGGGCCATTTTGCGATCGTCGCGCCCGGCGCGGCGCGCCCTGTCGGTGGTGGTCCCGCCATTTGGGCCTCGGACGTCCAAGGTGGCTGCGCCAAGGCCCGGCGGTGGCCCGGACCCATCCATGCCTCGCAAGCTCATGCAATCCGCCCCCCTTCCCCCCCGCCCCGCTTCCATCTCTCCTCGCCCGCTTGGTCCATCTCGTGCATCGGCGCCTCGTCGGCGTCCGCGGCCGTTGGCACATGTCAACGTGGTCAACGGGATGCGTTGACCGGTGAGCGGCGTGCGCGGCCCCCCGGGGTCATTCTGGCGGCCGCGCCCTCGCCGGGGGGCTGCGGGCTGGGACTGGCGAGCCGTGGATGCCGCAGATGGCGCCGAGGGAGCGGGGGGGAAGGGGGGGGCGGGGGCGTGGGCGTGGGCGGGCGGGAGGGAAGCTGGAGGTATTATCTCGAGTGATGTACATTTCTCGAGGACTTTTCTCGCGCGGCGCTGTCGGCGGAACTGGCGAACGCAGCGAGGACGGCCTTCCACCGCGCAAAACGGGATCGCGAGGTGCTGTGCGAGGCCTGTGTCTCGCAGAAAGACGTTGCAAAACTTCGTGAGAAAGTTCGGCGATAATTGGCCGCGGTTGGCCGTTCTGCGGTTTTTGAAACCCGCCGGCGCCCAAGCGATGGGTGCAGGCCGCCAGGATGCGGGCAGGGCGCGACTGCGCGGAGCGGGATCGCGAGGCGCCGTGTACGGCCCGTGTTTCGCAAAAGGCGGCAAAGCATTTTGCGATCGTTTTTGCAGTTAGCGACGGTTTTGCGAGTTGTGGAACCCGCCAGTGGCCTGGCGTGGACGGGCCTCGATTGCGGTGAGCAGGATCACGAGGCGCCACTTGCGCAGGGCGTGCGCCGCAGAGAGTGGCCGAAAACGGTCGCTTGTGAGAATTCTCGGCTATGGTTTTTGCCCTGGGTCGCGGTTTTGCGGTTTGTGGACCCCGCCTGTGGCCAATCGACCGGTGCAGGCTGTCAGGACGCGCGCAGGGCGCGACTGCGCAGCCGAAGCCGGATCGCGAGGTGTAGTGTGCAGCCCGCGGGTTGCAAAAAGGGCCGAACCATTGACCGCGAATTTCGAGCGGGGCGCTTTTGCCGCGGGAGGCGGTCGCGGCTTTGAACCCCGCCAGCTGCCAAGGGGCTGTTGCAGGGCGTTGGTGGCTAGGCAGGGCGCCGGCGCGGCCCGATTGCGAGGCCTCATGCGCGGCACGTGGGTCGCGGAAAGGGCCGAATAGTCGATTGCGAATTTGGTCCACCGCTGGGAGTGGTAGGCGGTGGGGGAACAAGACCTTTGAGACACCCTCACACCAATGCCCCCATGTCGGTGGAACGGCGACTGTTCGCTTCAGACCGCCGCGGGCACGCAAGAGGGGGCGCGGCGCACGGGCGGCCTCGGCAGCGCGCGAGCGCACACGCAGGCGAGCGGCGCCCCTCAAAAAACACGCGACGTGGGCCCCGACCCCACGAGCGGCCTGATTGACAGGCTGACGCACGTGGGTGCGCACAAGTGTTGGGCAATGACGCAAATCGGCGCTGACAGGGAGCGCGTCGGATTTGGGGGCAGTTCTAAAAACACGATTGGGGTAAGTGGGAGAACCGGCCTGTCACAGTAGGCCTGACGTCGCGCGGATCTGTGGATGGGAGGCGGGCGGTTTGGATGAGATGCGGCGTGTGGGCGCGGCCCCGAGAGGTCCCCTGATGCCGTCATGCAGCTGCGTAAGCGACCGAGAGCGCAGGGAACTTGCAGGAATGCAATCGAAAAAAATGCGGGGAAAAGTGCATGAACGCAATTAGACAAATGGAGGAATACGATCAGAAGAGGGTGCGGTAACGTTGTTAGGAAAAGAAAGCGCGGGAAAAAGCGCAAGAATGTTGCCAGACGGAAAGCGCAGCAATGAGCGCAAGAATGTTGTTAGACAAAAAGCGCAGGAACGCGATTAGAAAAAAAGTGCAGCAACGCTGTGGGACAAAAATTGCGGGAAAAGTGCAGGAATACAATAAGAAAAAAATGCGGTAACGTTGCTAGAAAAAAGGTGTGGGAAGGGGTGTTGCGTCCCCGGGTTTGGTTGGGCTTTTGTCGCGCGTGCGCAGGAACGTCGCGTCCCGGGGAGTGGGAGGATTCGGGCGCTCGCAGCGCAGGGTCCACAGCGGGCGCGAAGTGCCAAAATCGCAGGTCTCGATCACAGCACTGGGCACCAAACACACCGGGGGTGCGGACCGTACACCACACAGGGGTTCGCTCCACCGCCGGCCGCGGGCTTGATCAGGCAGCGGCGCGTGGCTCACACGCGCAGCGGGTGATGGCGCCCCGCCTAACGCGATGCCTTGCAGCGAACCTGTCGGGCTGCGCACACAATCGGTCCGGTGCGCGCCTTGGTGTGCCGTCAGTGTGGCGTTAGACGTGGAGAGGAAGGCTCCCAAGTCCGACACAAACGCGGGCAGGAATTTTCTCCGCGACTGGAGGGGAAGGGGCGTGACGTAACGCGGTGGGTTGATGACGGCCTCACGTAACGAGCGAGGTACCCGACGGGGGCACTTGCGCGAGCGGCGCCCAAGCGTTGGGCGAGAGTGTCAGCGGTTTCGTTATCTCGTCCCTTGGTGGCCACGGGTGCTGGCTAGGGCGCCTGGACAGCAAAAAAGGGTGCTGGGAGGGCGCCGGGGGGGGGTGGCCAACTCGCGGCTCGCCCGCCTTGCGGCTTGCGCGGCCGGTTGCGGCGGCCTCCGTTCCGGACGGGCGCACTCGGAGCGCCGATCGTCCGGTTCCGTCCCTTCCGAAAATTTCGAGCCCTTTTCGTACCTTTGAGTAAATCGGAGACCTGGAGGAGGAGGCGGGGGGAAGGCCGGGCTCCCCGGCAGGCCGACGGGAGGCGCCCGGGGCGGAAGGCGGTGCGGAGCCGGGCGCGAGAAAATGGGCCGAATTTTTCCAAGCCGTGCCTCCCATGGGCGAATGGGGGTGGGCGGGTGGGACGGCTCTGGGCGGTAGGGCGGGGAGGCGCTTTTTCTGTGGGTGGATGGCATGTCGGGCGCAATTACCGAGCCGGAACGGCCGGCGGCCGGTACGGGTTTGGCCGGTGCGGCCGGCGCGACCCCTGTCGGGGCTGTCTGTGCCGATGTGCATCTCTGCGTGAGAATGGCCTCCCCCGCCGGGTTTTCCTGGAGCTGTCCGCTGAAAATGCGGCTGCCCGGGTCGATCGGCGTGCCCCTTGCCAGAGGAGGCAAACCCCAGGGAGGGGCGCTGCCACCCCCTCCCGCCACACGCTTTACGTAACTCTCGCCCAACCTCCCCGCGGCCCCACCCCACCCCTACCCCCGCCCGGCTGTGGCTGATCTCTTGTGCTGAATGGATCCTTGCAGGCGCAGAGCCGACCGACAAAATGGCCGAAGCCGCGGCGGCGGCGCCGTCTGGCGATGACGCCGTCGCGCCCAAGTTCGAGGACCAATCTCCCACCGCGCCCTTCCAGCCCCCTCCCATGGATTCGAGGATCGCCGAGCTGCTGAGCAGCCTGCAGAGGCACACATCTGCGGGCATCGCCGCCGGCCACGCCGCCTACGCGCCGCTGACAGTCGCGGCCGTGGCGGATGGGGGTAGGGTTGGAGGCGCTGCGGCTGGCTGCAACACGCCCGTGCTGCAGAGACGGGCCCCGGGGGGGTCGCCGGTGTTGGTCACCGCGGCTCCCAGTCAGCTCATCCAGCTGTCCATTCCCAACCTGGGCGAGCGGGGGGCGACGGGGAGGACGATCATCAAGGTGGGGGGAAGGGGGTAATTGTGGCGGGGATGGCGGCGGAGTTTTGGGGCCGGTTTTGGCCCGCGCCGAGCCGGGAGGGGGACTATTTGCAAAGAGAGATACAGGGCATACAAAGGGCACCCCCTCCTGAGCAAGTGTGTTCGAGACTCTTTTCCACGTCGTGAAAAGATGATACAGAGACTCTGATGCGGAACGATAAGCGCACAGCGCGGGCAGGCTGGGACGTTCGCTTGCCGAAGGGTGGCGTGGGAGGCGTAAGAGGGGAAGCTGGAGCGCAGCGGGGGGCTTTACACGGGCCAATGTTTGACGCGCGCCGCGTGTGAGCTGCGGGCGAGAAAGATCTTCCCTGCCGAGGATAATGAGAAACTCCCGCCAGGTGGTAGCCTCATTGCCCTGGCTGGATTGTCCCGCTGCGCCCGTGGCCAGCTGCTCGGCATCTATGTTGCCGTGAGAGGGTCAACCCTGTGTGTTGGCGGTCGGCTGTACACCGATGTGCACCGATGTACGTCGAGGGAGACCTCTTGCTCGAGCGCATTTCTGAGGCGCCCCCGCCGGACTCTGCCGAAAAGTCTTCGGGCCGCGCTGGTGCCGCGTGCCTGCCGCCCTGCGCCTGTTTTTTTTCGCCGATTTCATGACTCTCGCGTCTTTTGCGAGATGTCACCAGTAGCCATTGGACATTCATTGGTACCAACGCACCAACTTTCATGCCGTCGCAATCGCTGCGATGGCGCCACTTTGTGTCGAAATAGCATCGCAGTTGGCTTTGCCAATATGTTGTTTTGTGGTAGTGTACAAGCTCGGACCACCGAGCGCGCTGCGCTACACTGCGCGGCGTCCTCTGATTAACCCGACTTTTGTGTTGGTGTATGAGATGTCGCTGTTCTTGTTCTTGTGTCCCCATGCCGTCGTGAGCCGCGGTTGACAGCCACCGCCAGGGCGTGGCAAAGCCCCGTCTTTCCGCCGATCTCAGCGCGCAAAACGGCGTTTAGTGGCCGTCGCCGCGCTCTTGGCCCCGTGCTGATGTGCGGGTGTGTTTGGATCTTTTTGCAGACTGACAACGGCAGCTCGGACTGTCCGACCAGCGCCATGGCCAACGGTGAGTGGCCTCGCCCCACCGTCAGCCGCCAGCGGCTCCCTTTCTAGGAACGCCGCCAATTTCTCCATCTTTCGTCATCTTTATTCTATATTTTGATGTCTTTAGTCATCATTTCCTGTGCCAAACAACCATGTCAGGCGGCTGTCATTGTCCTGTCAAGGTGGGCGGGGGTCTGCCCCGGGCGTTTTTTTTTCTTTTTTTTCCCGCTGTGCGTTTTTTTCCACGGTGCTTCTTCGTAGCAGTGCGGGTTTTTGTGTCCAGCGCTTTTGCTCAAGGCGTTGGCCGCTCTCGCTGGCACACCCCTTCACTGCCCCACACCCGCCCTTGCCTTTCTGCATCTTCTCTTTGCTTGCATTTTTGGACGTTGTCTTTGCCTTATTCGGCATAATTTTGGCCTTCTTTGGTACTTTTCGGCCTTCTTGGCATTTTTTTGCCTTCTTTGGCATTTTTTGGTCTACTTGGGCATTTTCGGGGCCTTTTTTTGGCCTTCTATGGCATTTTTGCCTTCTCCGGCATTTCTTGCGGCTTCTTGGCCCTTCTTTGGCTTCCTCGGGGTTTGTTTCTGGCGGAGGTCTGAATGTTTTTGGCTCGTCATGACCGGCCTCTGCTGTGCCAAAAGGCATGGAAGACGTCGATGACGACATGGGCGACAGCGGCGCGTTCTCCAGGGGGGCGCAGCGGCCAAAGCGGTACCGGAATCAAAAGCAGAAACTGTCCAACTCGATGGCGCAGAAGCGGTACAGGGAGCGCAAGAAGCGGGCATTCATGGACATGCGGCAGGCGAGTTGGATCGGCGGGCTGGATCCAGCCACTGTAAAAAGAGTTGGTAAAAAGGGCCAGAATATACGGTTTTGAAATTCGTGCGTCGTGCAGCACTGTTGACAATCGTGGTAAATCGTGTATTTGTCGTGTGAAACGGGACCAAACCGTGTGGTAACGATTGAGTGCGTGTATACGATTCACACGTTTGACATACTTTTGCTGGTTCTGACATAGTTTGGTAACGCGAATTTTACACGGTTGGAAGCCAGGTATTTTTCGCCGATTTTTCCTCGTGGGGCGTGCTGTGAGCGCCACTGAAACGTGGTCGAGTATTCTGGAAAGGACCCTTTTGTCAATTTCCTTAAATGCAAATACGTGCTTTATGCACAGCGTTGTGCATTTTGTCAGCCCGCGAACGCCAGAGCAAAACAAGAAACATGGGTCGAATGGGCGCGCACGCGCGTTGGGATGTTGCATCACTGTGACAGTGATGGGTTGGGCTGTCATATCACTGTAACAGTGGTTAGATGTGCTGGGAGCACAATTTGGGGTGTGCAACTCGGTCGCTCGGTGCAGTACTTTTTGCGCTGTGCTAAGCTTTGTTTTCTTTCGGTGTTTTCCTTCTTATAGTGCAGGGTTTTTGCACTTTGCTGAATTTTCCCCAAGCTTGGCTCAATTTTTTTAGCATTCTGCTCTGCTTGCTGTGCCAATTTTTGTGCTAATTCTTATGCCCAACTTTGCAAAATTGAGCAAAAATCTGCATGGCAGTGCTTTGCCTTGAAGGCAAAGGTCTGCACTCAGTCGAGCTGCAAATTAATACACTGCAATTTTTTTCCTCTGTTTTTGTGTATTGCACTCAATTGAGCGCAGTACTTTGTGGCTTGCAGGTGATCGACAGCCTGACCGCCGAAGTGGAGCAGCTCCGGCTTGTGAAGAGCGAGAACGACCGCTTGTGCCAGACGACCAATGCTCTGGAAGACTTGGTCAAAAGCCAGCAGGACCAGATCGAGGCACTACGCGGAAGGATCAAGGCGGAGGCAAACCTTCCGGAAGCTTCTGTGGCGATGCCAAAGGAGGTGGTGAGTGGCGGAAACAGATTTTGTGGATCTTCAGATTGGGCGGGATGCATTACTGTGTGAGGGAACGGCTGTGACGCTATGGCGATTGAGTACTGTGGACGGCGGCACGGTTCTTTGAGTACTGTGAATGGGGGGCCTGTCTGGAGAGCTGTGGGCTGCAGATTGTTTTGGAACATCTTCCAGGATGTAGTGGACCGAAGCACTGGAGCAAAGTGCTAGAACAAAGTGCTGGAACAAAGTGCTGGAACAGAACATCGAAACAAACTCCTAGATAAACATATTGGAGGAAGTACTGGAACAGCATGCTGGAGCCAAGTACGGGAACAAAGTGCTGGTGCAAAGTACTGGGCAAGTGTCTGAGCCAGAAATGTGCTGCGCAGGAACTGGTGATGGTTTCTGCCCCCACCGACGGCCAGATCAATCCCCGACATGGCACACCACAGGGTGCGTCGTTCGTGAAAGCCTACGAACTGTCGGAGGGGGCGGCAAAGGCCTTCCAACGTGCAGATGGGCCTGGACCCCAAGGACCGAAGGGATCTGGCCATGGCAGGCAGGCAGTGGCCCCCCAGCTCTTGGTCTTGCCGGACGGGGCAATTACTGCCAGCCTGCAGAGCGAGTGGAACACACACATCCTGGCGATGGAGCAGGTAGGTTGTGGTCGGCTGCTCTGTGGCTTTCGCACTTAAAAGACCGCTCCAACTTGGGTTCCATGTCCCTGGTTTAGTTCACAGTTCAATTCACATCGCTGCTGGTTTTCAGCGTTGGTGCAAATGGTGATGCATTGCTCCGGGAGGCCTGTTGTGATCTGCTGTGCATTAGTGCACGGCGGTTGTGCTTCGCATTGCATGCGCTGTCCCTGCAACAGGCGCATTTCGGCTGGCTGTGCTTCTCAGTGCTGGTGTATGAGCCTTTTCCTTCTTCTGTTTTGTTTTGGGAGCTTTCTGGCTGAGGCAAAGTGGACACATATGCTTGAATGAATGTCATTGTTTGAAGTGAGGCCATCATCAAATCGCAGCCCACTGGAAAAGACTGATGTTGTCAGCTTGGATCAGTTTTGGTTGAGTAATGCACTCACTAGAGAGTACAAATCAGCTTTGATGAGACACTATTGTATGATGTGCTGACAGTGGAGGAGGATACTTCGACCAGTGCTCCCTTTTTACTCTGCTGTGGTCAACATGTCTGCTTCATCAGCCCCCTTGGTACTTTGCTGAGTGTGCCGTGCTTTCTGCCTGGATGCCTCAGGTCCTTGCAGCCAACCAACAGCAAGGCCTCCCCAATGGGCCCATCTCGGAGGACGCCCTGCAGCTGCTCAGCCGAATGGTTAGCAACCTGTACAGCCTGAATGGGCAGCTCATGAGTGCGCACATGCAGCAAGTGCTGGAGATCAACCGTCAGAACACAGCGAGGATCTGCAGAATTTTCAATGGCCTGGCAGGGTGCAAGCCAGAGTGAGAAAACCATTCACCTTTCAGCGTGTGGAGCGAGGATAGCTCTCTTTTGGCAACATGGCACAGCTAAGTGCTACGCACTTTGCTGTGGTGGACTGCCATGGACACTTTGTGCAGTGCGTTGTGCCCCATTGCATGGAGGACATTTCGATGTGCTGTCATTCCGTACTGTAGCCGCGTGAGCAGCCGCTGTGGTTTGTGGAGAACCCTGTGAAGCTGAACTGGTAAATTGCCATCAATTTCATGGGATGGCTTGTGTGGCCTGAGCTTTGGTGGAAGGGGGCACTTGGTAGGTGGGGTTGCCATGCCAGGCATGCGGTTGTCTGAGATTAAGGGGCTGCGTTGACGATCATGTAGTTAAGGTAGCTGTGGTGGTTTGGGCGGCAGTGTTCTAGCAGAGTACTTCTGGGCAGTGCTTTGGTCATGGGTAGTTGAGGCCAGCGATTCAGCCATGTGCAGCGCAGAGCGTGGACATTGTTTGGGCTCAAGGCTGCACGAATTTTGAGAATCTGCGGATCTGTGTGAGCCACGCATTGGCTGTACATTGATGTGGGATATCTTGTTGCTGCTGAGGATTGATTGGATTGGAGCCGCGCCTTGCAAAGGGCGAGAGCCCATGAAGCAACGGGGGGCCGTGTTTGCTGCCGAGCGTGCTTGCCGATGTGCGCCATTGCTCAAAGAGACATTTTTGCTTGAGGCTTGGGTTTGACCAAAGGCTGGGGACACTGTGGGATCTTTCTTTTGCCAAATTGTTGGAGGGAAACGGGCGGCCAGAGAGCAATTAGAGGGGCAGATTTTTGGTGGAAAGGGTTTGTGATAAAGGGGGCCGCGGCAAACTTGGCATCATAGTGGGTGGAAACGTGCGGGGGGAAGGCCCCTCCCCATCAATGTGGGTTCAAGCTTCTTTCAATTCTGTAGCATGGCATGGATGGCATGGGGCATATGGGGAGGGGGGATTGTGTGGCTGGCAGAGAGGCTGTACGTTGATCTGGGCGGGCAGCGCGTTTTGTTGTTTTTCTGGTTTCAGGTGCTGCTAGAATAATCAAGAACTGTATGCGGGCTTGTGGGCAATCTGTGGGGAGAAAACGTGCGTCCTCACGAAACTCCATCACGAGCTGTAGCTGAACTCCCTTGGGAACTCTGGACCGTTGCTTCCAGACCTTTTGTGCATAGATGGAACGTCTCCTGAATGTGAAAGGAATCTGCCTATTTTGCAAGTGAGGGAAAGCACCTGCTGCGGCACACCGGTGAATTATGGAGCAAAATTGATGTAAGAGCCATGATCAGGTGTACATGTCGCGGCCCATATGTGCCCCCCACCCCTGCAGCTTGCGGAGTATGCGTAGCCGTGGGACGTGTTTCTAGTTGCCCCCCTCTGTCTCTACTGGCGCGCCGTGGCTACTAACTACGCCAGAACTGGGATCGCGTTGTGAAATTGGAATGTATTCCCCGGGGGGGGGGGGGGCGCAATTTCAGCCACCTGGAACAAGGCGCCAAAAGAGAAACGGCATTTGAGTGCCACCCGGAGGGGGCAGGAGGAACTTCCACCTTCGAGGAGGCCATGGTGCCGGCGGGGTCAACCATGTCAGTAAAATCGCACTGGGCTCGGCGCATCTGCAGCCCTCGCCTGCCCCACCCCACCAGCCATCTCCGTCCGGGAATCGACTGAATGTGCTTCACAATGCTCGCACACTCTCCCCTGAGCCGCCCTTTAAGTTTGCCTTGCTCGGCGCAAACAAAGTGCAAGTAAAATCCACGTCCCCTGGACACGCCCCGTCGTTTTGGGTCGGCCCCCTCCTCGCTAGCACCAGCAGAAAACAGCCTGTTTGCGATGACAACTGCGATGTCATTTGACACAAATTGATGGCACCGCAGCCATTCCTATGCCATCTCAATCACTGCGATGGCAACATTTTGTGTCAAAACGGCATCGCAGCTCTCATCGCAAACACACCGTTTTCTACCACTATAGCGGCAGACAAGGTCGTTGCCGCTGTTGTGGCGAAGGGCGGGTTCCAGTGCGCAACGCAGCGCTTGCCAAACACGCTCGACCGAGCTTGAACCCTCGCCGTAAGGGACCGTCGCCACAGACTCCAGGGTGCCGGTAATCTCCGTCCTCCCTCTCCAACATGCGGACGGGCACCGAACGGAAAGGCATAAAATTACTGGCTGCACCAAATCGGTGACTTTCTGCACTAAATTGGTGACTGCTTGCCCCAACCCCCTCCAAAACTTACCTGACCTAAAACCTGAACCCTAAAACCTGAAACCAAACCTGCACTAAATCAAACCCTTGTCCTAAAACTCACCCTAAAGCGAAACTTAAACCTAAAACTGAGGTTAGGACATAGTGTGCACGTGATTTGGTGCAAGCAGTCACCGATTTGGTGCAGGCAGTAATACTATGTCGAACGGACAAGGCCTAGTTTCAAGACTCCGCGACCTGGGATGTGTGCCGTGTGTTTCTACAAGGTTATCTTGTGACATTGCGTGGACATTCTGCCTCGATTGGTCTTGAATTTTGGGCTCCTCTGATGCCGCAACCCCACGAGCCACATACTCCCACTTACCTCCGACTCTTGACTACGGTCCACAACAGAACGCAGCCTGGCCAGTCTCCATTTGTCCGATAGGCACGACTTGTCCATCCAGCCATTCTTATCTTCCTTTCGTTCTTTCTCTTTCTCTTCTTTCTTTTGGGGACGACTTCTCTTGCGACCACGTGCTGTGGGAATGTAGAGGGTTGGCCCAGGAGCGGGAGGCGTTGCTGGGCGGCATTGCACCGCAGCGGAGAGGGGACTTTGGCTGTTTGCCAGGGTTTGGGGCTCTCGTCTCGGACAGTTTGTGAGAACTGTTGGGCACCTGATCAAGGCGTTGACTGGGCAAGTGTATGGATGACAGGGTAGGGGATGTGGACAAGAATCGGGGGGTCTCTCTCTTTTGCGACGCTGTCTGTGGACCTATGCGCGTTGTGTTCCTTGATGCTGAGGGGCGGGAGGGTGGGGAGGTGGGATGGTGGGGGTGGTCTTTGCCAATTATTGCGAGGTCATTGTGGACCGCTGGCAGAGGGGGATATCTGAGCTCGGCAGAGACACGTTACGCAACCATTGTGTCAGTTTTTCACGCTGTTTGTAAGGTCATTCATTCATTCAATCATTCGTTCACTGACCTTGAATTCCAACCGTAAGCTACGGCGAGTTTCACAATCAGCACGTTTGGGAAGCGTTCATTGTAGCCACACTTCTTTTGAAGCCTGCCTTTGATCTGAGCGGCGACGGGCGGTGATGTTTTGCTGCTGCAAAAGCATGTTCCTGAAGCCGCGAAAACGGGCGCCCTTGCATCCCCGCCAAAAGTTCGAGGTTTCGGCCAGATAACCATTGCTGCAAATGATTCCAGATCTGCAGCAATTCACAGATTGACTTTGCCATTGCATTTCAAGCTCGTGAGAGCAACTTTGGACGATCGCTTGCTGAAAATCAAAGTTTCTTTGATAGGAAGCAAAGCGTCCAAATTGCATGGGAAATTAGGGACAAGGCAGTGTGCTTGCCATCGTGCAAGACCTTGTTTTGTTCACTAAAGTTCATGCTTCTCTTCAGATTCAAAATAAGACGCCTGTCAAACTGGCTATTTACGGCGTAAACGCAGCGTGTATACATGCATTTATGCGTTAAAGCACTGTTTAGGTTTTACAGCAAAATACGCAAACTACGTAAACATAGAGACTGTGTACATAAAGACAGTACATAGAGACTCAGGTAGTCTGGAGTGTCTCGACCAGGCGCGCTAAAGTGAGCCTGATACGATCTACTTCTTCTGTCCAGAATTAATTGTCCTCTATTTGAGAGACAAAATTTGTTACATAGGACATTTTAAAATTACCAAAGAACATCAGAATCGGAAAGATTGGCTTGAAAACCCTGAAATACCAATTTTAAAGAAAAAATAATTAGTACCGCCCCCTCTGGATGGCCCCCCAAATTGGGTGAAAATCGTCCAAAACATGTGCGTGCAGATTCCGCATCCGCTAGAGATCCGCACGTTTCTGGGTCACTCCCGTCCTTGGTGCGCCAAAGATAAGACATTGTTGTCTTTGCGGTGAAGGGTGGTATCCCTTACGTGGAATAGCGTTTGCAAAACACGCGCGAGCTTGTCTAGGTCCCCATCGTGGAAGGCCGTCATCGCAGTCTTGACGATTTCTGAGATCTCTGCCATAGTCGATCTTTGACGTGCGTACATAAAGCAAGCAGACAAAGTCTAGGGTCCAGGGTATTCAAACTTGGGATATGTGCAAGCTATTGCTACAAGATTGTGCAGTGGACTTGCTTGGACAATCTGCCTCGATTGAGGCTTGAACCGTTGTTTTTGTGGGCAGCCTGGCCCACACCCCGCAAATTGCCACGATCTGCCAACTCGTGCATGTAATCCACAATCCGTCGCAGCCCGGCAAGTGCGTTCCTTTAGAGAGACATAGTTTTATCTATCCAGCTAGTCTTCTCAAGCTCAAGCCCTTCAAGTGCCAAAAAATGGTCGATTCACTATTCCTATCTAGGAGGGCCACTGCCTAATTGCCCCTTAATTGCCCTCTAATTGTCCGCTGCTGAATGGGGTGATGGCCACCACCTTCCTAAAGGTCTACGAGTAATTTGGGAGGCCTCCTGCAGTATCTCTTGTAGTGGAGTTGGAGGTTCAAATGTCGTGGTTCAGAAATTTGGACCTGATGGGCATCTTTGATTTGGCCAATCGAGCTTGAATTGCAGCCGCAAGACACGGCGACTTCCAAGATCAGGACTTTCAAGACACATTTTCTGTTGCCCTTTTCCTTTGCAAGCACCTCCATGATCTTCTGTCCAAATGGCATGGATAGTTTTGCCCGGGCGGCTCTGTAGCGCTGCTGCAAATGCTTGCTCCTCGAAACAGCGAAAATGGCCATTCCAGCAGGGATGTTGAAAAACTGGTGGGTTTCTGGCTGGATGACCCTTGTTGCAAAGTCCTGCCAAATCCGCA